ATCTATCTATCTATCTATCTATCTATCTATCTATCTATCTATCTATCTATCTATCTATCTATCGATCATCATAAGTGTCCTGGTTTTGATTCTCTAGAGAACCCTGCCCAACACACCGTGTTCCCTGCTTTCAGCCAGGATGCATCTGATGTCAGACATGGAATCCTTTGTCCCACGTGCTTTTCTGGATCCACCTTGACTTTCTGGTAGCTCCTGTCCAGGTACTGCCGCCGTCACTTCTGAATTACCTTCACCAGACTGAACTTGCATGTGATCTTAATGATACTGTTTGATAAGTTTTGCATTCTGCTGGGTCCCCTTCCTTTGGCGCGGTCACAGATACGGATCTCTGCCAGTCAGCTGCATAGGTAGCTGTCTTCCAGATTTCTCGGCTGAGACTAGTGAATGCTGCCAGGGCTGTGTCAGTTTACTGAAACCTTTCCGATGGAATTCTGTCAGTTCTTGGCACCTTATCTTTAACTAAAGCCTTCAGCCCACCTTGGACTTCTTCCTTCAATCCTATCAGTTCTGCTCACATGCTGCTTCTTGGAAGGGTTGAATGTAAGCCGATTCTTTCTGGCACCATGACCGTGTATCCCTTTCATCTTCCTTTCAAAAAATAACTTTATTTATTGATTACGGTGAAGGTTTATTTCAGTTCACTTGAAGGTCGTTTATCCAGGTAGAATTAACACATCACACACATCAGTAGTTCAGTCACGCCCTTCTGTCTTCCTCAGAGGCTTCCTGCCTTGTTCAGTGCTTTGTCCGTAGAGGGATTGGGTTGTTTTTCCGTCCGTTCTTCCCGCTTGAGTTTCCCTGAGCATATTCTCCCCTTTGGGGTTTCCAACTCCAGGTCTCCCCACTTTTCACTTAATGCTCCCTCTGTCTTCTCGAGCTGCCCTTTGAAACGTCCTGTTCACTCTTTTCTCCGTCATTTCTTCCATTTGCGCTTGCGACTCAATGTGCAAGGGCACGTTTCAGAGCTTCTTCTGGCAGCTGGCTTCCCTTTGGATTTTGCTCCTGTCTCTTAAATGACATTTCGCTTTCTTTCTTTACAACGTTCTTGGCATCATCCCACAACTCATTTGAACTTGGGTCATGAGGGTCAAATCTGTTCTTGAACCGGTCTCTCAATTCAGGCGAGAGAGACTCAAGGTAGTGTTTTGGCTCTCATGAACTGGTTTTCATTTTCTTCTGTGTCAACCTGAACTTTCACAAGCAATTGATGGTCTGTTCCACAGTCAGCCCCTGGCCGTATTTAGGTTGCTGATTCTGAGCTTCTCTACTGTCTCTTCCCACAGATATAGTCAGTTTGATCCCTGCCACATGTCAGGGAGACTCAATCCAACCCATGACAATGCCAGGCCTAGTCTACCCCACGTCGGTCAAGTTTGCGTATGTCTGGATTCTAAAAGCTGGGATTTCGTTTGACACAAAAGAAAACTTCCAGGAAAATAAGTAACTCTGATCACCTTGCTGAGTTCAGTCTGGGTTTTTTTTTTTTATGGAATCCAGGACTGAGGCCTTGTGCAAGTCCCTGAGGAGCCATGGCCACTTCCCCAGCAGGCACGACTGCTGAGCACTGTCCCGAGGCCTGTGGTGGCACAGCCCCGGGCTCCAGAGCCACTTTTGCCCACCGGGAGGCGAGATCCAGTTTCTTGTTTTGACTCTGAGTTCCCGGACAAGACAGAGCGTTGACAAGACGGCTGCTACCCATTCCTCCCAACCTCCATATGCTTATCCAGCTCCTCCCATCCAGCACAGGTGTTGATTGCCCCTCCCTGGGACCTGGCCACAGAATGCTGTGTAAGTGATGCTGAGTGATCTGTTGGCATAGGGCCTGGGGAGGCTTTAAGCTGCTTGTCCTGCGGTCTTGGAAACGGGCTGTTGTAGACCATTTTGGCTCATCCCCTGAATGAGGAGAGACTGCCTGCAGAGAGGCCATGCAGCGCAGAGCTGAGGGCCAACACCCAATGCCAGCCGGGCGAGGGGGGCCCTCTTGGACTGGAAGGCCCAGTGGACACCACAGGGCGCGGAGAGGAGCCTTCCCCGAAAGATTAACTTGGCCTAAATTCCTGGCCCACAGAACTGCGAGGAGCAAAACGCCATTGAAGCCAATAGGTCTGAGGGTGGTGGGTCCCACACCAGAGGGCAGAAACATTGGGATGCAGCGTGCTCTGTCCCTGTGGCCGCTGGCCCTCCTTGCTCCATTCGGCCTACATGGGCTGGCGGGTTCCAGAGGCCACACACATGCAGGCTGTCCTCAACACCGTTAACAGACCTGGGGGCGCTTTGTGCTCGATGGAGCTCAGCACATAGGAAGCCACATACGGGCAGGCGCCCCTGCCCCAAAGCCATGGCAGATGCCACTGACTGTAAACGTCTTTCACGTGGGTCCCAAACTCAGCCCCCTCACAGCCCTCCTTCATACAGCCCCAGCATCCTCTCCCAGGCAGCCGGAGAAGAACTTGGAACAGGACGGGGACTGGGAGGCGCCTACTGTCTTCAGAATGAAAATACGTTTGGCGGTCTGCTGGGCCTGAGCGAAACCCCAGTTCTGCCATGCAGGCGTGTTCTCTCCGTCCGCTCACATGGGCGGATTCTCATAGGACTGACGTTCTCTTAGGACAGCAGTTCTCAACCTGTGGGTCGCGACCCCTTTGGGGGTCGAACCACCCCTTCACAGGGGTCGCCCGATTCATAACAGTAGCAAAATGACAGTGGTGAAGTAGCAATGAAAATAATTTTATGGTTGGGGGGGGGGGGGGTCACCGCCACACGAGGAACTGGATGGAAGAGTCTCGGCATGAGGAAGGTTGAGAACCACTGTCCGAGGAGGACTTTGGGATCTATGGGGAAAAGGAGGGGCGGAGCCTGGAGACAGAGATAAGTAACAGTGGCAGGAGGTGGGTGGGGAGAAGGGAAAGGCTGAGGCAAATGAGGACGAGGAGGAAGGTGGCTGTTGTCTCCTTGGGCTGAACTCCCTCCCAATGAGGCTGTCCCATGGCGACCCCGCACCCCCCACCCTGACACAGTGGCGAGTCCTATTCAGAGAGAACCCCATGAACCTCAGGCCCGCTCCCCACACACGTGCTTACGACCGACATCAGCCCGATCCGGCTTGCAGTTCCCGGGGACCCCTGGACCCCAGATCCAGGAGCTCTCTGCTCGGTTTGGAGTGCTGGGTGTGACTGCCCGACCCCCTCTCACCACTCCCTCTTCTTGCTCCGGCTGGCACGAGCCCCGCTCACCTGGAAGGAGTGGAAGATGTACCAGAAGGCCCAGGCGTTGATGACGTTGTAGTACATGGACAGGAAGAAGGAGACCACCACGCTGGCGACACCTGCGAGGAAGAGAGGGCTGGCTCTGAGGACAGGACTGCCCCTCCGGACACGCCTGCAGGGGCTGCCCGACGTCCGACCCACAGAGCCACGGACGGCTTTGCCAGGCTTCCAGGAGTCCTAAAGGTGACCGGCCCCTGAGCACGTCTTTGCAGCATCCTCTCTCTCTCCCCACCCTCTGCGCCATCCCCTGGAACACAGGCTGGTGGGCTTGTTGTCTGTCATTAAACCGAGTACCAGGTACTGTGCCGACGCCTGCGGTGCTCACGAGGCTTTAAAGTGGGTCTTCGTATCACCCCCCATTTCAGGGCACCGAGGCACGGAGTTATTAACTTACCCAAGATAACCCGGGCGGCAAGTGGTGGAGCTAGGTGCAAGAAGCACGTTGCCACTGCCAAGGACCGCCCTGATGCCAGCCGTTATGGCTGGTCCCTCCTGGGCTCACCTCAAGCGAAGAGACTTGGGTCAACCCCCACCTAGTGGTGGCACAGGGCAGGGGTGTGAGTGGGTGTGTAAGGGACAGGGGCTGCCCTGACCTCTGGTCGGGACTGTGTGGAACCTGAGGATGGAGGGAGGGCCAGCAGTCAGCAGTTCCCACCCTCCAGGGTCACTGTATACCCTGCCTCACTGTGACACCGGGACCCCACGTTAACAGTGTGAAATTGGCCGTGGCAGAGATATTGATACCACAGGTATCCGAATATGCTTGCACCCCAGGGAGCTGGTGGTTCGACTCTGACCAGCAGCATCCCGCTGGTTGGCATCGGCCTCTGGTATGTTTCCTACTGAGTGGTGGATGCCGCCTCTGAGAAGCCCGCTGGGATAGCTTGCTCTGGCAGCTGGGGAAGCCGCACACCTCCGGGTTAAACATTCCCAGTCATGCAGACGCCGAAGTGGCGCCCAGAGTGTGGAGATGTTTTTGAGAGTCCGCGTGTGGGCACCCAAGTCTTCTGCAGCGGGGACTAAGTCACACTCAGGTTTGTGTTCTCGGGGCACCTGCCCGCTGGTCTCCCTCTCTGGGGAGGCAGCAGGGCCAGGCAGAACACACTGTGACCACGGATGGTCAAAGGTCCTCCTGTTCGCAGAGGCAGCCCTGGCCCGGGAGGGCTGTTAGAAGCAGGTTAACCATCTCCCGGAGGTGCCGGGGGCACGGGCACGCAGTGGCTCACAGCGGCACGCCTGTGAGCTCTAGTTCTGTACCCCGAGCTAGCTGCGTGTCCAAGGCTCACAGAGGTGCTGTGAAGATGAAGTGGATGGGGTGAGCTCACGGCCAGCACATATCAAGTGCTCGATAAACAGAGAGGGGCTGCTAACAGGCAAGGGCAGGCATGTGTGTGCCCAGGGACAGCTCCTTTGCTGGGTCACCATTTGCCCTTTATTGATGGAGAGACACTGGGATCCGGAGGCGGGAGGTGCTATGTTGGTGCTCCTGATCTCTCCTCCTCCCTCACTGCCCAGTGGGTGCAGAGGGCCAGCCCCACTCTAGGATCTTCTGCCCAACTCCTGTCATGCACTCTCTCTCAGCCCTCCTGTCCTTTATTCCAGTGTCTTTCCCAAAGGAGTCCCACCCAAACTCTTGTGTGGCTTAAGACAGAGTCCTGGGGTGGTGGGGGGGGAGGGGGTGGTCCCAGGTGGGACAGGGTTGTAGGGGACCTCACGTACCAACACCACCGAGGTACGGGCTGATGGTCCTCCAGGCTCCAATGCTGCCCTGCCGCATGCGCTGCCCCACCGCCAACTCCAGGTACAGGAGCGGCATTCCCTCCAGGATGAGCATGATGATGTAGGGGACCAGGAAGCTCCCTGGGGAAATCCAGAGGGAGAGGCACACCATCACTGCAGGGCTGTGGTCCGCCACCCTCCCACTTGCTGGGAAAACATCCCACCAGCCCCCCGCCCCCCACCATGCTTCTTCAGGCTTCCCACGTGTCCATCCCCCCATGCACCTTTCCACTCCTTCATCCATCCACCTACCTTTCCACACATGCATGAGTATCCATCATCA